GAGTGTCAATGGTCCATTTGAGAGATAGGTGGCGGTAATGCACTTATAAGTCTGCGATCCGCCGTAAAGCAAGAAGACGACGCGTCACACGCCAGCTGTTGAGAATGCGCTCCGGACAGTTTGGATATTGCGGTGAATCAGGGGTAAAAAACGATATAAATACTGTTCAGTTTCTTGCACAGACCGATCGTTTCTTGTCTTTACACATCAATGTATCGTCACGAGCCACAGGGTTTAATTTGGTGTGTGTTTTTTTTTTTTTTACTCTCAAAGCCGTGAATCCCATTCACTTCCATTTATATGACTGACAGACTGCAACGGTTTGAGTTAAAAACCTTTGTTTGTGTTGTACTGAAGAAACAAAGTCACCTACATCTTGGATGCCCTGGGGGTAAGCAGATAAACATCAAATTTTCATTTTTTGGTGAACTATCCCTTTAAGATAAGATATATGTTGGTGCGAAATTCAGCCAGTTCTCTTAAAGGGTTAGTTCACCCAAAAATGAAAATTATCCCATAAATTACTCTTATATGACTTTCTTCTTTCAGACGAATCCAGTCGGAGTTATATTAAAAATTGTCTTTGATCTTTCAAGCTGTTTAATGGCACTCAGCGGGTGTTGCATGCATCAGTCCAAAAGAACTTAATTAAAATGCGCCCATCCATAAAAATAAAAAAAGTGTCTCACACGGCTCCGGGGGGTGAACAAAGGCCTTCTGTAGCGAATCGATGCATTTTTGTAAGAAAATATCCATATTCAAAACGTAATAACCACTTTAATGTAGCTTGCGGCAACAGTTGTACATGCTATTTTTAATATAACTCCGACTGGATTCGTCTGAAAGAAGAATGTCATATAAGGGTGAGTAATTTATGGGCTAATTTTCATTTTTGGGTGAACTAACCCCTTAATGCTATGTATGTCTTTTGGATTTGAAAGGAATAGTTAACTCAAACTTTTTTTATTTTTTAAATTGACTCCACCCAAGATGTAGAGGAGTTTGTTTCTTCATTAATACAGATTTGGAGAAATTGTAGCATTACATCACTTGCTCATCAATGGATCCTCAGAATGAGAGTCCAAACAGCTGTTTAAAACATAGTAATTCACATGACTCCAGTCCATCAATTAATGGCTTATAAAGTGAAATGCTGCATGTTTTCATTTTAAATCATCACTTCTGGCTAAAATACCAGTCCATAAGCTATAACAAAGCTTCCTCCAGTGAAAAGGTCCATCCCCTGTTGTCCTATCACATCAAAATCCACCAACATATTTGTTTAGAGCTGTGTTTGACTCTTTTTCACTTTTAAACAGTGCCTGATCCATTGCACATTGCTCTCCTCATTCAAACAAGATGACCTTTTCCCTGAAGAAAGCAATATTGTGGATTATAGACTGATATTTTTGTCCAGAAGCAATGGTTTAACATCTTCATGGATATGTTTCCTACCAAACATGCAGCTTTTTGCTGTAATAGATACAAAAAATATATAATTCTTGGATGGTCTGAGGGTGAATTCTTAAGGTTCTTGGTCTTAAGCAAAATTATATTTTTGGGTAAACTATTTCTTTAAGCCTTTGCACAATTTATTCGTCTATGTGATTCATGTCGTGTTAGGACTGTGCTACATGTTAAGCATTGTTGTAACACATCTGACATGGGTGTAGATGTGAATTCCAGATTTTCAGTGTGGTCTCAGACTTTGACTACAACAGTTTTTTTTTTTTTTGGATGAATGTCAAAGTGAGGAATTGCTCTGTTTGTTGTCCACTTACTCGCAAAGGATCGAAGGGCATCCAGAAAAGCAAACACTGAATTGTTGGTTCAATGAGCCAACAAAAGTTAGCAAATGTCCTAAGATTTCCTAACTTTGCAAGTCTAGGAATTCCTAACAAGTTTATTTGATCTGATTTGGAAGTGGCTTTTCTTTTTCCTTTTTTCGACATGAGGCTGAGTAAACAATGACAGAATTTACATTTTTGGGGTAAACTATCATCTTTAATGTTTTTATTATTATTATTATTTTTATGAAATGATACTCTAGTCTAAATAACAAACTAAATCTGCCAGCAGGTAAATGTCTTTATGAGTCATTCGATTCATTCAAACGACTGATTCATTCAGGAATGAAATAAACGGCTCTCTTTATGAATTAGCCTTTGAATCATTGATTTCATTCAGAAACTAAATACCGCTGTGTTGCTCAGAGGCGCAACAGTTCTGCTCATAGATACAGTGGTCGAATTGTAAAAAAATTACAGGTGGTCAATTTCTTTGGGGTGGGGGGGGAATGGGGGTAGCTAGTTTTACACAACGATTACAAAATTGGTCTAAAAAGGATTTTATTTAATTAAAAATGAGCCTTATTAAACTATTATTTATAAGCTTTTTTTATTTATTTAGGGCCTGA